GCTTCGTGCCCTTTCTTGAGCTGGTTAGAGCCCCGTTCACCTTGGGCGCCACTCCCCTTAGGTATCCTAGGATACCTACTTTAACAGGGTGCTGCTACTAGAGGTCTGTTGAGACAGTTCCTTTCAGAGCTTATGCAAGACACCGGTAGTGACATCATGGGCTATCGCCGGCCAACGTGTTGTTGGTGTTTTTTCAATGTATGCTTCAGACACGGGTCACGACGTCTCAGGGGAACCATGGTTACATAAGTAAACTGAGACGATTTTGTGTGTAAGCAGCTGAAAAAAACTGTAAACACTGCAAAAAATTTTCTTCCTTAGTATTTTTGTCTTGTTTTCTAGTATAAATATCTACAAATTCTTGAATCAGGAAGCATTTACTTGAAAGTAAAATGGCTAAAGATATTTTGTCTTGTTTTCTGAAAATATTATCCAAATTTTGTTAGTGTTTGCTTAAAACAAGTAAAAATATCTGCCAATGGTGTAAGAAAAATCATCTTAATTCAAAGGCTAAACAAGATTATTTTTATTACACCATTGGCAGGTATTTTTACTTGTTTTAAGCAAACACTAACAAAATTTGGATAATATTTTCAGAAAACAAGACAAAATATCTTTAGTCATTTTACTTTCAAGTAAATGCATCCTAATTCAATCATTTGTAGATATTTATACTAGAAAACAAGACAAAAATACTAAGGAAGAAAATCATTTTTTCCAAGTGTTTAATTAATTTGAATAAATTATTGAACATTTTAATATATATGTATTTAAAATATAATATTTTTAATAAACCAATTTTTAATATTCAAATCATTAAAAATTGGTTTGAATTAATGATTCAATGACTCATAAATACTTCACTTGTTTCATTACTGGATGAATCAGCGTTTTTGTATGAATCTCTTGAATGAATGATTCAATGACAAACACATTTTTAACAGTCACTTGTCTCCAACTAGTGTTCAATCAATGCAATCACCACAAATGTTATTTGAAGCGACAGTTACTTTGCTCTATTTTGATCGCTGCCATAGACATCAATGTTTATATCAGAACTATAAACTTTCATCCCAGTATTTCTGTGATAATATGAATGACTGTAAGACAGAAATAATACTGTGTAGCTGAAAAGACTGCGTGTGAAGCGGTTTCTTACCTAAACATGCTAACTGCTCTCTGTGTGAGCGGCAGCGGGAACGCAGATCTGACTTTTTCTAAGGTTTAATAGACGCCTGCGAATCGCTGTCATTTAGAAATGGGGTGTTTGGGTGTTTGTATTTTCTCACGACGAACCGTGCAGCTGTGACGCAGACGCACCTTTGTCGAGTTTGCTGTAGATGTGCTGCGGCAGCTCGGCGGAGGACTCCACGTTGGGAGGATAGACGTAGAGCGCCTGTGTGTGTGCGCCTCCTCCCTCGCGCTCCTCCACCGCCTCCCTGCACACGCTCAGAATGTTCCTGCGGAAGTCCTGCACCTCCGGATCCTTCACCAGCTCGAACTCACAGATGGGCATCCCTATAGCGAAACCTGAGAGCGCACACATCACCAGCATTTACACTAAACTGCATGTGCTTTATTTGACAAGCCCCTCGATTCTATTACTGACACACTGCAGATTGCATAAAATAAGTGTCTGTTATCCCCAGAGTTTGTATGTGAATTTTAGTTGACAGATCATTTTTTATAGCTTGTTAAAATTGCCACTTTTAGGGTATGAGCCAAAACGTGCCGGTTTTTTGTGTGTGTCCCTTTAAATGCAAATGAGCTGGTGCTCCGCCCCCCTTTCAGAAGAGGGCGGAGCTTCAAGAGCTCACGCTCTGGCATACAAACAAACATTCCACTATTAGTACAAGCCTGTTATCTTTACAGAAAACATGCTCGGTTTAAAAATCAGTCATCTACTGTGCCTAATAAATGATCGTTTATTAATTACACAGACGGGGAGCACGGCGCGATGAAAAATAACGACAGCTGGTCTCATTGTGTCTTAGCTGCTATCGCAAACTTTATAAGTCCTGCTTGAGATTATGAGCTCAACTAATTCAAGCGGTCGACTTCACATTGCTTTCATGTGCAATTTTTAACTAGCACATTCATATTTACGATCGTTCTGGAAGCATGTGAAGGCAGCACCAGTGAAAACAGGCATAGCTTTAGCAACATTAGCCTTACAGAGTGCCAATAAGCTCTTTCAGAAAGGCAATTTGTACTGGCGTGTATGAAAGAATAAAACAGTAAAAATGCAAACTCAAAATATGACACAAACCTGCAATAATTAATTGTTAAATAACACAAATATGCTTTATGTATTTAATTCCCTTTTATTAACCAGTGTCTTTGCTGCTGACCTTGATCCAATTCAACAAATAAGCAAAAATTACTTTAGATAAACATAACATTTGTGTGTTTTTTTATTGCTGATCAAAAAGTGTTGAGCTTTCTTTACTTCAGCCTGAGGCTTATTCAGTTCATTTTTGGTGTTAAGGGGCTTTTATATTTGCCAAAAATATAACTTATATTAACTTCATATTGAAAACAAACAATCAAGCCCAGCCCAGATTTAAAAAGTAACGCAAAAGTAATGTAATGCATTACTTTCCATAAAAAGTAACAAAGTAACATAAGTTACTTTTTTTAGGGAGTAATGCAATATTGTAATGCATTACTTTAAAAGTAACTTTCCCCAACACTGATATTGACTTCCATTCGATTTATTTTTTTTATACTTCCAGTCTTTGCTTGTTGATTGGCTAATCACGAGACACACTGACCGATCTCCCGGTTGAGGATCTTCTCCTCTCTGTTCCCCAGCGGCTCGATGACTTTGAGGATGGGGTGAAAGAGCCGCAGGTCACACAGACGCCGCGTCTCGTCGTAGAACTCCTCGCGCTCGGCCTCCTGCGTCACTCCCACAAAGATGTAGCAGGACTCCTCCTGCGGCCCAATAGTAAGTAAGTTAGTAAAATGTTATTTATATGTGACCCTGGAGCACAAAACCAGTCATAAGGGTCAATTTGTCTGAAATTGAGATTTATACATCATCTGAAGCAGAATAAATGCGCTTTCCATTGATGTATGGTTTGTTAGGATAGGACAATATTTGAAAATCTGGAATCTGAGGGTGCAAAAAAATCTAAATATTGAGAAAATCATCTTTAAAGTTGTTCAAATGAAGTTCTTAGCAATGCATATTACTAATCAAAAATTACGTTTTTATATATTTAC